AAAAAAAAAAAAAAAGGAGCGTTGATATTATAAGAGAGGTCGAAAATATAATTAATTCATTTTAAACGAAGTAATATAAAGATGAAAAGATAAATATCTGTTTTATAAGGAAGTAAAATTGTCAGCCTGAAGAAATTTTGCAGGTTGTTAAAGTCACACTTAAAACCTATTGCGGTTTACTATGCGGCAAAGTAAAAGTATGGATGACCTGAAAAGTCATGGATGACCTCTACATCTGCACATACGGATCACCGCAGATGCATTCTCTCTTAATCGCAATGTTGCCCAATTAAACAGGAATATACGTAAAGAAACAGGATTTCATCAATCTCTATTATTTTAATATCTTTCAATATTAAGATTAAATCTGTTCGTGAAAATTTTATTTATCGAATGCATCGTTTAAAGATTCCTCGATAAGATTGAATCGAGTTTAATGCGTTTGAAAAAGATTTAATAATATATCGTTGTGGTGTATTATCGATGGTGCAGTGATTTTTAAAGAGGAAATTTGAAAAAAATTTTTCTCTGATTTTTGACGATTGAATGGGGACGATGATATTTCGACAACATTTAGAGGTGAGATATAACGATGATGAATTCGCTTCGTTGTGCAATTGAACACGTTGAAGATTTCTAAGCCGCGAGCAGATCTAACAAGTTTAGCATTAAAAACAAAGATGTAAAATTATAGTTAAATTTTGATAAGATATAAATGTAAAATATCATTTATGAGATTACAAAATTAAAAATTAATAAAAGTTGGAATTCTATTTATGATATATATTCGAAAAATCTCTATAATAATTTCAATAGAAATCAATCTGAATTTTTTCATAGTTATGATTCATATTGGTAATATTTGCATACTTTATTATATAATAGTGCATTTAATAATTTTTTATTAATTTTTGGTTCCGTTTCAAATTTTCTCAAATCACAATCATTTATCGTTCACGTTATTCATCGACCAAATTTTACTTTCAATGTTTGAAACTCGATATTATTTCCATTGAGTCAAGTTTAATCCATTACAATAATATTACCGTTCGTTTCGTACGCCTTGTATGCCTCGAGGCAAAGTTTCGTGTTGTTGTTACGTTTCTATTTATATCGTACGATAATCGTATTTCGTATTCAGTTGAAATCGACAATTGCTAAAGGTTGGACACGGAGAGCTCTAAAATTCGAGGTGATTTTAATTTAAATTTTAATTTTTACTCGATTATTCTTATATGAATCATCTTTTTGGAATAAAGAAAGATGGAACGAAAGATTCTTTTTTCAAAAGATATTAGCATTTTTTCATAGTTTTTTATATAGCAGATCTTGACATTTTCAAGATACGTTAGATTTTTATGTATAATAATTTTAATATTTATCATATGTAATAAAATGTTAAAATTAATTATTGAAACCTTGAAATGGGATACGTAAATACTATTTTACTATTATTTTAATTTATTCATCAGATAATCGTTGATTTGATTACCTTTAAACATTTCTTGAATCAGAAATAAATTTCTTGGAGGAGTCCTCGATCGAGATGTATTTTTAAAAATTTATTAGATCTATTCATTTGATGTTAGAAATTATATTATATATAATATAGAATATTATATAGTGTGAAGCAAGTGAAAATATTTTCATTAATTAATTCTCATACGGAATGATCAGATAATTTCAGTATTGAACACGTTTATATATAAAATTTAATTACCATCCTATTAAGCGGTTTCAATATTTTATGTAAATTAATCGAACAAAAATTATATTTGAATAACAAAAAGAATATTAAAGTTTGATAATCCTTCTTCATTAAATATCTCTCCTTCGAGAGAAAGAGAGATGAAAGTTGCTCATTCGATATGTCTGAAATAAATTAATCAAAAATGGAATTTATACATATGAATATCTCATTAATTTCTAATTTTTGAAACAAAGATATTCAATAAAAAATCTGTATATTTTATTATAATGGTTTTAACATATGATTCCACTAATTTAATTTCTGATTTAGAATCAATAAAGAAATAACAGCATTTTTATTTTCTTCTCGTATGTCACAACGTTCATTAATGCATTTTCATGATTTATCATCGATTCATGATTCAATATTATGAAACTGCATGGAAATATTGTCTTTGAATTTAATGTTCTCGGTCACGCAATGTTACGTTATGTATTCGTTTAATTTCAATATCGTTGAATATATTTTCATATGAAAAAATTTTGTAAAAAATTTTTTATAACAAATATTCATTGCTACATTTCGAGAAATTATTGATTGTTTCTTGAAGATTTTCATTAGAGCTTGGGTTTTTCTTTTATTTCGCTTATATATTATTTTAAACGAATAAAATTTTCAGAGACATTCGGAAAGAAAAATCGAGAAGAAGAAAATATTTAAAAATTCTTTTAGAAAGCGAGCTTTCAAAAAGAAATTTCATCATTGCTATTCCCCAAAAAATATATAACAGAAAAGGTTTATAAGATATAAGAGAAGTTATCTTAAACTTGACACTTCCATTAAAATCTAAATTTTATTGATGTGTTCAACGAAGATATAAAAATTAAATTTTTAGTTTTCTCGACAAAAAAACATCATCGATTTGATATTACATAATAATACGACGAGATAATTTTGAGAATATCATGAAAGTATATGGAGTTTACACTTCTCTTAAAAAAGATTTCGATAGAGTAGAATCGATAAATCTAAAATAGATGTAAATATATCTTCTTTGGGTATATTCGCAGTATCCAAACGATCGCCTTTTCGATTAATAATGATAGAATCCGTGACCATAACCATACCCAGGGAGGCCTAAATGGAAAAGTAGATTAAGATAATAAATAACGTCGATGAATGTTTTGTCTAATCTGATCTATCTATCTATCTATCTACCTCATTTCTCGTGTGCAACGTCGATGAATATTTTTTCAGAATTTATAATAGATTAAAAATTTTTAATCTTTATCAGCATTTAACAATAACGCAAAATTTCGTACAATTTATCACATCTGATTGGAAGAGAGGAGTGAAAAAAATTTTGCAAAAAATTCATTGACGTTGAAAGCACGTTTCACGCGTTCTAAATTAAATCTCATGCATTGTATCCCCTTACCGTATCCATAATGCCCGTAACCGTATCCATAGAACGGATATCTGTAAATGTAAGGATAGTAGCCACCGTATCCACCGTATCCACCGTATCCACCGAGGTATCCTGGTTTCGCAGAAACGATGCCAATGATGACAGCCAGCAACAGGATCGTGTAACTAAAAAAAAAAAAAAAAAAAGAACATATACCCAATTCTCAAAATATGCACGAATAAATAACAAATTGCCTCATACATATTTTGATCGATGACACTGTTTCGCTATCAAATATATTTGAAATTTACTACACGATCGATCGATTTCTTAAATTTTGAATTCTGAAAAATTCCAGTCGAGAACGTGTAAAGTTTTCAAGCGTTTATAGAATATTTTTGATAGAATTTGAATAAAGATTCTTCCTTCACCAATATCGTTGGAAAAGATTGATCATCGAAATAAATCATCGAAAATGAAATATTTAAATAAAAGTGAAACTCGAAATCGTTAGTTGAAGCATTAAAAATAACGCGTTCGAGCAATGAATTTTATTTCCTCGAATACTTGCTTGAAAAGCTCGAATCGAACTCGGATGGGATGAAGCTCAAACATTTTCTTCTTCGTCGGTTACTTTTCCATCGTTACTTACAAGTTTCAAGCAAGCCATTATCCGTGGTCAGCTGACGTTTAGCCAGTTAACTCCTCGATGAATTGCACTAATTTTTCCCCTATCTGTCAACAGAGTACCACTGTCTGTCCAACGTTGGTCTCCGTTTCTTTTATAACAAAGGCGGCGTGTTCCGCCACAGCCCCCACACTAATTTTTCCCAGCCTTCGTATTGGCTTTCCTCTGTTAACACTAATAGCAAAGACTGGCATTGTTACTCTGGGATTATGCGAATGCAATACGTCATTATGAAAGGAACACCGATGCAACATCCATTTCGGATTGGTCATCGTTTGTGTTCACGTGCTGTGAACCGGCGACCGCCTTGACATCCAAATTCGTTGTCCAACAATCCACGATTTTTCGTCTCTCTGAGAAACCTCCGAGTTTCCCAACTCCACTTGTATTATGCCTGGAAAAGAGAAAGACAATGTGCGATGAAAAACTTTGTCATTTCCATTTGCATCGCCCGATTCCGGTTTCCGTGACAAGCACCTGTTACCATTTCAAACACATTCTGGTAGAGAATTTCTTCTTTGTTTAGAGAATTTCACGGATTCACGAAGAGTGATGAATAGTGAATGTACTTGAAATTACCATTTTCGTTTTAATTTCAACTTCGAAAGAGTGAGAATCCCTCTTTTCTTTTCTCAATTGGAGAATTTCAAACGGTCTACTATTTCGTGATACCATCGATATATCATTGGATTGTTAAGTAGATATATAGTTCTTGGAGTGACTTTAAGAAAGTAACATGGACAGAATCGTTTCAATGGATCGATGATTAATAGACAGCTATCAAACGATTATCAAAAGTATACAATTTTACTTTACTTATTCAGAATAATATTTACATTTTCAATTTGCATCAAGTATCATTCCACGTTAGAATTTCCAGGTAGAAAAATTATTTTCCCCAATTCGATTGATCGGTACAGTATAAAATATTTCATTTGTTCACGTATAATATAGAGAATGTATCGCGTGTATGATACATTTTCATACTCAAAATATAAAAATTCAACGATAATATCGTTCACAAAATTTTCCACTCTTCGTCACGAAGATAAAAAAAAGAAGAAAAAAATAGGATCGAAGAGAACTTTCAACGAATGTTACAAAGTCGAACAATTTAATCATCGTCCGAGCGAGGACAATGCGTGCACGAATGCGCGATTCAATGAAAGGAGATGCAATCGTGATCAGAAGGAAGAAAAATCGTGTGGTTGCGTAACAGGAGCATGGAAGAGGGGACCGTTACAAAATGGTGAAATTACACGGTGCAGGTTGTGGGACGAAATCGTAGAAAAAAAAAAAAAGAAAAAGAAAAAGAGAAAAAGATGATTGCAACATTATTGGGATCATGGAAAGGATGCGTTTGTCATTAATTGCAGTTAATGTGCGATGCTTGTAAACTGCTCGTCGAGTGTTACGTTACCCAACGAGATCGTCGTTGAGACGAAAATATTCGCAGGGATATCCATTTTTCAAGTTTTTTCCTTCTCCTTTTTGTCGATGAATCATTTCGATCGAAAAAAAAGCTACGTTCCCCGATCCTTTTCTGAGACGATATGTTATATGTTAAATAACCAGAATTTAACTTTTTATAATAGTCAATCAATATTCAACACCAATTAATTTAAAAAATATATATCTTGGTAGATTAATAAAGCGTGTATGTGTAATATCTTATTTTTAAAACTGAGGCGAGGCGAGGGAATTAAAAAAAATCAGATATTAAAAATCAGATGTCGTACGATCAATGCTCGGTATTCTTTTTGTTTTAATGCCATTTGTTGTGCATTTGAAGTAAACAAGCATGATGAAAATTGTTTTTTATCATGGAATATCTCGTACAAATAATTGCGATAAATGTAATTATTTATATCAAAATTCGTATATCAAAAATCGTAAATTAGAATTTCAATTTCGAATAGGTCGAGTAGAATTATGATGCGGTGCATAAATTATTCATCGACGATTCGAATAAATACGCAGAACCATCTTTAATAAAATAATGACGCAATTGAATCACACGATGAATAATTATTTTATCTTCTTGATAAGAATTGCACGACTCTAATTATCTTCTTATTTTTTTTTTTTATCATATGTAATTAAATATACTTTGTAACACTTAGTATTCCAATACTATGCGTTTTAATATTCGTTCGCAGTAATTTGTAATTTATTCTATCATATAATTGTATGGTAATTGTAACGTTGCATATAAATTGTAATTAGTGATGGCACGAAGTGAACTCAATTTTTTTTATCACTAGTTCAACAAAAAGAAATAATAATTTCAACTTTAACTTCATTTTACATTTTCAAATTGATTCGAAACATTTGCGAATATATTCGCGATAACTTTCTTTTTATAATATCGAAATCGAGTGAAATCGTCATTTTTTTTTTTTTTTAGTTTGAAACCAATCTTGCATAATCCTCACTTTAGTTTGAAAGTATGAAAAAAAAAAAATCATCTCACGCGAATAATAATTAAATCCCATCGAGTAAACCACCTTCCACATTGAATTTCACTCTCGATATCAAACTTGATCCCATCGCTAATTGCAATCAAGGTTTTTATGCATATTGCTGATAATACGCGTATTAATAAAGCCTATCTTCCCAGGATCAGAAACCTGTTCAGAAACAACTAATAATGTAATAGTATGTAAAATTTGTTCCGTTTCATAGCGATTTCCAACGATAAACCTCGCCTCGCCTCGATCATCGCTTTTAAAAACATATAAAATCTAATTCCGCTACGTTACGTGATCCTTTTTTTTTTCCCCCCCTCTCTCCTCTCTCTCTCTCTCTCTCCC